AAGGTTGAGTCGGATGTTTCGAGCAAAAGCCTACGTCTAGCCCTAGACATATCTAACCAATGACTATCGTACCTCGATATCGTGAGGTTCGCCAGCACGATTGATGACCTGTATGGCGATGCCGCCTCCACCAGAGTTCACAACTACGTGAACTGCGCCTAAAATATACACATCCAGAGAGCTCGAAAATGGCCTCTCGGAGAGGCCAGCTCGATCACGAAGAGATCGTGGATGGTGTTCTTCAACCGTGACGCAGATGGCTCATACAAGTGGTCATACACTCACCGAGGAAGTCGACAGCCTTTGACACTGCGCCCTCGATCGAGGACTCATTCAACAGATCAACATGTACGAAGTAACCACCTGAGACGAAAGGACCCCTACAAGCAACTTCATGCACAACCAGTCCATAAGGATGGTCTACCGATAGACTTCGCAACAGCCTCTCCCTTCTCGGTGTTCATGTCCAGGACCGCAACCTTGGCACCCTTCCCAGCCAGAACGCGGGCAGTAGTCTCGCCAAGGCCCGAGGCACCACCCGTGACGATGCAACATGTTTTCTCGCCGATTTGCATTATAAAGTGGAACTCGGATGGACTCTAACGAACCCAATGAAGTCCATGAGAATGCTTCTCGGAGAAGCATTCTCATACTCCCTATAGAAGACTAAGACTAACCAACACAATAAGGTGAGCAAACGAGTCACATCAAGCGACTGCTTTCCGCTAAGAAGCAACCAGTGGCAAGGGTTGTGTCCGCTCAAGAGGAGGAGCTCAACAGTGGATTCGTGACCAGAGATGAGAGCCCATGATACCACTAAAATGACGTATGATCCATTACGCAATACAGTGCTTCACTGAACACGACAGCACGGTGAACCATATGGAATAGGGCGGTAAAGCGGTTGTATACTCCCCCGAACAGGGATTGATAATCAGGCTAGCTCTGCCAACGTATGACTCCGCAGAATGGAAACATATTTCGTTGACGGACCGAGTGTGGCCGGGCTAACAGTAGAAAACTTCATGAGACTTGCGAGTAGTGGCGAATAACTTAGCTAGGAAACCCAGTGTTGGAATATGTTCGGTTTCCCCAGCCGGTCTCAGGAGCTGTCTCACTGCATAGGGAAAATTCATCACACATGACTCAACGTAGAAGCGTACTAAAACCCACTACAGTTTCCTTATAGTCATCAACACACGCAGTTGACAATGTGCATATTCCCCGACACTGAGCAAACCGAAGGGTGTCATATCCCTATCATCCTACACGTTAACCATTCGTTCGGCCTTGATCGTAGTAGAGTGTTGATCATCACAGCTCTGAAGGACACAGAGCAGATTGCGCTCAGCATTGTGTTCGACACCACGAGTGGAGCATCAA